CTTCTCCTACTCAGCTCCTGTTTCCTGGAATATCTTGCAAAAAGATCTGAAGCTCTCGACCTTGACCTCTCTAAGTGGTTTAAGAATCTGTTGGACTCCTGACAAGGACCAATGCAGACATGTTCCTGTTTTTAGTTTTCTACATTCGCCTTAGAACCTAGCTGTTTTTGCTACTTTGTTTGCCATCTTATTTTAATTTGTAAAAAAAAAAAAAAATGTATGCCTCTTTTATGATTGTCTATTGTTGTCGTTGTCCATTGTTGTCATCACTCTGTTGAAATCAGGTCTCTCTTGTAAATGAGTCCTTGAGGCTCAATGGGATTAACCTCTCTAAATAAAGGTTGAATGAAATAATATATTTTAAGGCTTTATAAACCCTTCCCACACTCTTGCAATGTTCTAAACTCTAAAGGCTCTAAAAGAGCAGCGTGTCATGATCTCCGCTCTCTGCCACGCCCACTTCTCCACTGCAATCACACTCAAGCTCATCACCTGTGTCCCACTCCCCCTCCTGCTGCACCTGTGCGCTGCACTTCTTAAGCGCTCCCCAGTCTCTGACTCCCTGCCAGATTGTCTGATCTTCTTGTGCCTGAAGTATCCAGCATTCTTGATCCTGCTCTCATTTCTAAAGGCTTGGTTCGGATCACGCTTGATTATTTAAAATCATCAATCCATGCCGCTCATGTGGCTCACTCAGGTATAAGACACACACCCATAGCCCCTCCTTTCTTTTTCCGAGGCTGTCTGTTGCGCTCCTGCTTGTTGTGTGTCTCTAGGACACAATGGGGAAAGACAGACCCCACCCCCTCCTTTCTCTTTCTGAGGCTGTCACAGCAGAGCAGAGATGTGGGCTGTTGTGTGTCTCTGCTCTGCTGTGACAGCCTCTGAAAGAGAAAGGAGGGGGTGGGGTCTGTCTTTCCTTAGCGACAATTGTGTTGTGTAATAACAATATTATTGCGTATGTATTGTTATCAGTGTATGTTCCCATACAATGGTGAATTTGGCTCTTTGCATTTAACCCATCCACCACCTCTGGAGCAGTGGGCACTCTATTGAAAGTGCCCAGGGAGTGTTTGGGGATAGGATGTGCTGCTCAGAGACACCACGAGATGTGCAGTGATACAATCTTACTTTGAAAAGCCGCAAAAGAGTGAGGCAGCAAAAGTCGAACCGCGAAGTAGCGAGGGACTACTGCACAGTTCAGCTGGGGATGCAAATATTTCTATTTAAAAAAAAAGATGCAGCCTTAACCGCTTTGGAACACGTTGCTACCTGGTTGAAGCATTTGTCGCAGTGTGGACACTTGTTGCCCTTCTCAGTGTCGTGCGTCTCGAGGTGGCGCATCTTGGCAGTGGGGTCGGAGAAGGCTTTGTCACAGTAGTCGCACTGGTATGGCTTCTCGCCGCTGTGAACCAGCTGGTGTCGCTTCAGATTGCCAGATGTCGTAAAGAGCTTGTTGCACACTTCGCAGCTGTACCGTGCTTCCCCCGTGTGGCGCTTGCGGTGCAGATTGAGCAGACTGATCTGGCGGTAGCTCTTTCCGCAGGTGGAGCAGCAGTATGGCTTCAGAGGACTTGAACACCAAAAGACCAAAAATCCTGATGTAGCTCAGTGAGTGGATGTGAGCAGAGAGAAATAGGAGCATGAATTACATCTTTTAATTACCTGTGCGTTTTCTCGTGGGCTTTACAAGCTGCAGGGTCAGAGAAAGCCTTTTTGCAGTCCCTGCAGGTGAAAGGCTTTTCTCCTGTGTGAATACGTATGTGCCTCTTGAAATTACCGGTGTGGGTGAATTTCTTCCCACAGTCCTAGAAAAAAGGAAATGGTGTTGTGAAAGCTGAGCTGCAAAATCTTCGGTACATATATGTATAGTGTGTGAAATAGCCATACAACTTTAAATCACCAACATCTGGATGTTTGATACGATCGTATACGTTTTAAATTAATTCCTTCTTTAAATATAATTTCTCACCTCACATTTGTGTATCACTGAGCTGTAAGACCTGGATTCCGATCGATCGCTCATGGAGGTTGACTGAGTTTGTTTTCCATCTCTCTCATCGGCTCCTTCCAGTTCCTGGCTGGTTTCTTTATTTTCCTCTTCAACCACATCTTCATCGTCAACATCCCCAGAGTCATATTCCTGTTCCTCAGCCACCTCTTCAGGTTCTGCTACTTTTTTCTCCTTTTTCTCTTTTGATGGATCTTCATCTTCAGAGTCATCTTCTATAAGCGTGAATAGAGTGTTGTAACAGTGACAGCCAAGACTAGAAATGGTTACAAAGCAGGATCACGTCAGGTGACGGGAATGGTTTTAAGAACATTGCCACCATCAGTCATTAGACCAAAAAGATGGTTTTAATAAGAAAAATGAAGAGATTTGAATAAAAATGGTCAAAAACCTTCAAGCTATTCATGTTAAAAATGTATTTTTCCCTTGACTGTTCAAACCTGTCACTTTAAATCTGTTTTGGAGGATTCACCTACAAGTGGACAGCTCTGATTCAGACCTTTTACACCTGGCAATACAATCTGTACCCCAAAATGTTTGTGCAATCAATCGGATGCCACAGTTTGAATGCGGACAGCACACACAGCCATGTCACCCGTTGAGCTGCTTGTGAGAAACAGGCAGGATTTCAGCAGGTTTGCTGAGGTTCCTGTAAAAAATTACATATATGTGAATTAGGGATGCACAATATTATCGGTATGGCATCGGTACCAGCCGATATTAGCGTTAAAGTTAAATATCGGACCTGGGCCATTCTATCAAAATAACTCATACATATATATATATATATATATATATATATACATATATATATATATATATATATATATATATATATATATATATATATAAAGGTGGTGTTTTGTATGACAACCCATTGACAAGGATGCCTGCAGCTCCAGCACAATGGTATGACGTCACGTGCGCCTACCTGATCTGATCACGGTGGGAGAGGAAGTTTGACAAATTTGACATTAAACATAATCCAAGTTGATGCCCACTTTTTGGCATTTGCATTTAGTAGCAGGCCAAATTGACAAAGGCCATGCAGAATAATGTAGCATTTTAATTCCACAGCAGAGAAAGCTATGTAGTCTCTGTAAGTAGGTCTAGGTAAAAAAAAATCTTGGTATTAGTATCGGATACTGGCCAAAAATCCAATATTGTGCATCCCTGATCTGAATTATAATTTTGTATACCTACGATATACACAAATGGAGTCACATTCTTTCAGTCTTCTCAATGAGCTTAATAATTAATTACTTTACTGAGGTGATATGTGAGAAATGTAACAGTGATGAGTAACTTCAAACCTCTGTCAGAGCAAAGACTGAGACTTTAATCTGTAAAAACCCACTGCGGTGAAACAAAGTGCGCCGTCAGCCATGAGCTGTGTTTTTACAGCTTCAACGTGAACGCAACAACTGCAGAGTTTAATTAGGCACAGAATGCAACATACAGCTGCTCAGAAAGTTGCTCTGTGATTGTCACAACACATTGTAGTTTATGGTGAACACAGCGGGTCCACTCAGCTCTAGAAGCAATCAGAACAAACTTTAAACCAGAAAAAATAATTAAAATCTCACGCAGCACTTTGTTAATCCACTCTGACAAAATCACAACAAAACAGACATTTGTTTTATTGAGGATTCTGATGAACACTGCTTTAAACTTTAGGCTACAATAATAGTAATAAATTAAAGACATATCTTTAGAATAATGGCTCTTTAGTTATCTTTAATCAGCAGCAGGTGAGCGGTCTCGCTTTCCCCAAGGCAGCCAGGTAATAAATCTGCTGCTTGTGAGGTCAGGTCAGTTCATTAGGAGGTCCTACGTCATGGATAAAAATGGGACCATGTTCAGAGTACCAAACTGAAGCTGAAGGAGGTCCAGACCATCTCCAAAGGTGGTCTGAAGTTTTCACTGCACATCAAGGCCATGTACACCCATATTGAGAGATATACAAGTGCAGTCTATTGAAATGCCAGGTCTCACTGAGGTCTAATAAGAGTTTGTGTCAAAGTAAAAGTGGTGTCAACATGAAGCAGATGTGTAAGCTGACACAGCAGGTCTTGCTCACCTGGTGGAAAGTTACGTCGAGGAGGTTTGCGGATTCTTCTCCCTCGAGAGCTCATGTAGGCTGAGTTCCCTGAAGACTTCAGCTGTGATTCTGGAGATAGATTTGTAAACCAGATGGTTACGAGGGCCAAACACTTGCAATATCTGTTTCAAAACTGATAAATATGTATTTACTTGTTGTGTAGTCAGCGTCCGAGGGGTCATCCTGAAACTCAGAAATATTTGGTGCAGAACGCCCGTCCTCGTTTTTCACATGTATCTTTTTTTGAGCAGTTTTGGGGGGTCGTCCGCGGCCCCTGTGTGTGGGCTGACTAACTGCTTGTTGTCTGACAGCTGAGACGTCGTCGTTTAAATCTTCCTGGCTTTCTGTGGCTTTACGATCTTCTATGGAAGAACTAGGACACTTGTCTGCTGCTGGTGCAGGTTCTGATACGTGGTTTCCAGAGTTGGCGTTCTGCGCATTTCCAGTCACTTTTTCATCTGATTTAATGAAGGAAAAAGGGATTAAGATTTAAGATTGTAGTGGCAACATCTAACAACGATTAAACCCTAAGGGTATTAGATTTAAAAGTGTGGTGGAAAAAAACTAATATACTGGTAGTTTATATAAAAAATATTTAAGTAGAACAACTCTGATATATTTTACAGGAATTGTTTATGAAAAAAGAGCTTATACTAAAATGCTTTTCTAACTATAAGATAAAATATGTTGAACTCTTCAACATTGAGAAATTTAACTTAAAAGCCTGGAATTAAACTCAAGTAACAATTAAATGTATCTGACTTAATTTGGGCACAGATGAATAAAAAGAGCATAAGGACCAAGATACAAAAATATAAAGTCAAGATTCCTAATGGCATTCGTTGCAAAAACTTAGTAAAACTATGTTTGAATACCTGGTTCATCAAGAGGAAGATTCAGGGTTATGATAGATGGAGCTGGATGTGATATAGACTGATATGCAGAACATGCATTTATGATTTCTTGCATCTGCAAGAAGTGAGCAACAGACATCACGTCTTCGACATTTTGTGGCGTTAAACTCAGCTTGGACGTGTACATAAAATTCAGGACTTGACCTAAACCTAAAACAATCAGAAAAAAGAGAGATCAGGTCAGAAAAGAAAAACCTGAGAAAGAACTGTGGCGGTACGTAAAAACGCAGCTGGATTTGAGCCAGGGTGAAACCTACCAGCTGCGTTGCTAATGTCCAAATGCACCACATCTTTCTGATCCAGAAAAAGGGTGCTGAAGTACATACTGCATGCTGCCAGCACAGATTTGTGGGCCTTGAAGTCCACTCCGTCTACAACAAATGTGCAGTCGCACAGCAGGCCCTGACTACGCTGCCGGTTAAGCTGCTCCAGAACCTCTGCGCTGTGCCAAGGGAACTCCATCGTCCTGAGGGCGTGAGGGTCGGACCAGAGGCTACCAAGCACAGGATCTGTGTTAAAGAACATTAAACATTTCCTGATACATGCCGTCTGTTCATAAAAAGCACATTAATCTAGAAACATGACATGTTTTTATTAATTCACACTGTGCTAAGTTTATTATATGCTACTTTCTCGTTGAAGTCAGTTCATATTTACTTAAATTTACAGATCTTTTCAGATTATGTGAATTAAGAACAAGTAAAAGGGAGAAACACTTGTGACCCACACATTTTTTATGATTTACATTGCCCCTGATTAATGTACAGTAGTCCCTCGCTACTTTGCGGTTCATTTATCACGGACTCGCTCTATCACAGTTTTTCAAAATAAGATTGGACATGACACACAGTTGGCTGATTGATGGATGAGCCACACAATCAGCTTGGAATTTTTATTTCAAATAAATTATTTTTAATTATTTAGCACCTGCTGCAGCTTTGTGCAGCCCATACTGCATGATAAACTTCCTGCTGCAGCTGAACAGCTGATCTGGTGCAGAACGGAGAAGTGGGTGTGGCCAAGAGCGCTTGCAGGTGGCAAAGAGCAGAGGAGGCAGGGAGCTGAAATTAGGCCTGTCACGAAAACAAATTTTGCTGGGCGAGTAATTGTCTCATAAATTATTGCAATAAACGATAATATTGTTTGAAATTTGACAATAATTAGTAATTATTGTCAAATTTAAGAAGAAATGTTTAATTTGTTTTGCATGTAGTACCTTTTTTCAACCACCAGATGGTGGTACAAGACTGTTTAACTGAAGGATGGATAGTGAGGGAGCCAGCGTGTCTCTTTAAGAAAATGGGAGGTAGGCCCTTTAACGTGACATGGGCTGTCTCCCCTTCCTGTTTTTCGGTTCTCAAAATGGCGGGCGCTCTGTGTGGTTTGAGCTCTTTAGCATAGCATTTTTCACACAAAGCTTTCAATAAAAAACCAGTCAACAAGTTCTCAGCTTCTTTTTGCAGAGAAAAACAACTTTTTACACAAAGGCACGTGATTCAACTATGAATTTTGGAGCTTCAACAAGACGGAAATTTTTTCCCAAGGTCTGCCTGTTAACTTAGCTCGTAGCTTAGCTTCTCAGCTTAGCTGCTTTTAACGATCCACAAATGTGATTTTGGATAGTTAATGAGAAAAGAGTAAGGGAGGGGTCAGTGAAGAGCACCGGCGTTGAGCTTTTTGTCGTCCAGTGTCTTCAGTAGAAAGAGAGACACGAAGAAACAATAAAGCCGATGAATATAAAGTTGATCATTTTCATTTAGCATGCGATTAATTGATTTATTGTTTATTGCGACAGGCCTAGCTGAAATCATGACATTCTGTGCTTAGAGCGTTTAGAAACATTGTTTAGAATATTGCAAAATTGTGGGAAGAGTTTAAAACGCCTTTATATATATATATATATATATATATATATATATATATATATATGTATAAATACTAAAATAAACTACTAAACGAGGGACTATAATACTGATCATTTATTAACAAAAACCAAAAGTCATAAAATTGTAATTCTTCCTTTTTGTAAGCTGGTGCTACTGTCTGCTGTGTCAAAGATGTTACAGACTGACTTCATCAGACTACATAAACATTACTAAGTTCATCTAACAAACATCAAAGTTCATGCTCAATAATCCAGGTAAAATATCCCACTGTGATAACCCACTACCTTGTTGTGGCTCCTCGGACTGATGAAGTCTTTTGGATGAAAGACGAAACATTTCAACTAAAGGAAACCATGTTGGGTTCATCTAACAAAGTTAAGTCAGGTTCTCTGGACAAATAAGCTCAGTCAGCACCTTCTCGTAGTGGATCAACCAGTTTGCTGTTGACATCCAGAACTAGCTGTTCACATGGTAAAGGAGGACCATCACCCTAACAACTGATTGTTAGTGCCCCGATGGTCACTTGTTATTCACAGAGGGCTGAGTGATACTCGCAATAACAGCATTGTGGGGGACAGTTGAACACGGAGGCCTCCACACGTTTAATGATGGACAGTTTCTCTTCACAAAGACGGCCTCCTTCACTCCTCTCTCAAACCATCGGTCAAAGACGTGAACATCTTCACCCCTGAAAGAGTGACCGCTGACCTGCAGATGAGTGTAGACCACAGAGTCTTGGCTTGATGATGTTGCTCTTAATGAGCATGCGTCAGGATATTATTGATCTCAGTCTTTATTTTTCCTTATTCTGTCTTCTCTGACTTATAATTGACTCGTAATGTCAAAGCAAGAACAAACCTGATTAGCTGGCATTCTGATTTTCTTAAAAGACAGATATTTGTCATTAACTTGAGCATTTAGTCCATTTGGTTTGGCACTCTTGACATTGTGTGCTTTTTACTCCTTCACTATGGTCCACCTGTGTCTGAGCTCATTAGCTACAGGACAGTGTGCAGTCAAACCAAAAGTCCTGTGAGACATGATCATCTCTGTGTTAAGAGTGTGGGAAAGGATGTTGGAACAATTTATTCACATTACTGCTGAACAGTCCAGGTTTGGCCTGCACTTCTGCAGATGTTTTCTCTTCATCTCCAGCAGAACTACCATGAAACCAATCAAACCAGGATGCTCTGACAAATAGGGCTCTGCTTTCGTCTCTTTTCTTTGAAGATTTTCCTTTTTGTGACACGGCCCTCAGCAGGTTTATTAATAAACAACAACACAAACACGTTCAAGACTGCAAGATTCAAGACACAAGATTACAATAAAGTTTTTACGAACAAATTGATTTTTAATGCGCATCTGGAAATACGACACGACGTTAGCTAACTATGAACACTCTCCTATTTTGTCCTGAAAGAACACATTTGGTATATAGAAAAAAGATCTGTCTACAAGTTTTTAAAGGTTGGTTTGACAGCGCAATACATCGATTAGAAATCCTCCATCCTCGTAGCTTTTGTATCAGGGATTAATTTAGCTTGCCTACATGCAGTGAAAGAGGTACACGAGCTCAACTCAGGCCTATTTCCGTCTGTTCTCTGAGCTAGCTTCTTCTTTTCACTCAGGTATTCGCCGTCATTTTTATCAGAAACTAGCTCCCAAAGTACCTACTTGTTACAGCCTCCTTCTTCTGGTTTAAAGCCGCTAAAATACGACGTGTTTAGTTCGGTCTGACCAGCGACAGAACGAACCCAATCGAGCTTTCGGTGATCGATCTTCCACCCCAGCTGGCTACATCAACACCGCCATCTTGCTTTCTCTGGTCGATTGTCAGGGGCCGGTGTTGTACAGTAAAAAGTATCCACGTCACAAAAAGCGATTTTTAGCAAATTTGGCTCGACTAAACTCAGTAAAACTGACTTGTTTACGACTCTGAAAGACATAGATGTTGTGTTGAAGGAAGCGGTACCGATCAGAATACGGAATGGTTAGATCACATGCACACACACGGCAGTACTATCATATTTAAAAATATATTTGAAAAAAATAACAGTGCTCTTAATGGTAGAGAAAATGATAAGTTTTGTCGCTTTTGTTAACGTACAGTAATTCAAATTTGTTTTGCGCTTGCAACGAGAGGGACACTTTTTCCGACACAACACCAGCCATCTATCTCAGTGGAGCATGCGCACTGTGATCACATGCTAAACCGATATTGACCGCTAGATGGCGAAATAGAACCAAGAAGATGAAGCAAAAAATACAAACAAACAACAACAATCAGCAAAAACGACTTTATTGTTATTATTTGAATAAATGTTTATTACTAAATAACTGCAAATTTGGTCATTTGTCAAACATAGTGTTCTTCTTCGACCAACTGTTCACCTTCCCAAATGAATATACAGTATTGTACTGAACAACATAGGTTGATGGAAATCAGTTAAAAATTACACTACACACAGTTGCATAAACTGTGTATGAAATAACATATAATCTTTGAAATTTTGCCTTCAAATATTTTATTTAAAATTAGTGCTTTCAAAAGAAGAACAAGCTTCTTCACCAAAACGTCAACACACGAAAGATTAAATAGAAGCCTCCTCTATCCACTGAATTCAGTTTTACATTGATTTTTAAGAGGAGTTTGCCTTGTGGTTGTCACTGATTACAGGCTTGCACATTTTATTTTGCCTGGATTATTTTCTTTAACCAAATGCATGATGACTATTATTCATTTTTGTTCTTTTCATCAGTATTATAAAAACGGTCATAGTCAGCTACAACAGATGCTCCACTTCCCTCCTGCAGTCCAGACACATGCATTCAAGTTAATTTAGTGATTCATAATTGAGCTAGGCACTTATATTTTCTGCCCCTTTGTCAGCTGCGAAAAGCTTCGACCTCTGTGACCCCGAATTGTAAAAAGTGAATATAAAAACTTGAATAGATGAACGGGTGATGTGAGAGTAAAATGTTGGCACTGAGGTAACTCTCCTACATGGAACTTCCATTTTAATAAATGTAAAATAAAATTCTGAACGCTCTCAAGTTAATTTGTTAAAAAATAAGAACGCCTCAATGTTTTCGAAATGAAATGGAGAATTGTTGGCAAAGTTTTCTACTCTGTGATATTTCTGCTTTTGTCTTTTTTCCTTTGTGTTAGTAAAATATCTCTTGAATCGCTAAATGAATTTTGATCAAACTTTCAGGAAGCACCGCTACAACTGATTACTGTTTGGAGTCAGCTTGCAGTACAGCAAAAATGACACTAACTCCACCAATTTGACATTTATTGAACTAAAACTTGATATTTTAGCAGCTCAGAGCCCAACTTATACTCTGAGCGCAAACTCTCAAATATTATTTCAACTGCTTCTCAACAGCTGCCTGCAAAATATCTCGTGAACCACTGGATGGATTTTAATGAAACTTTTATAAAAAGTCATCAACAGACGTGCATCTGCAACTGACTGACTTTTACTGTCGACTGGATTCATCATGTCCCTCACAGCCAAAACACTAAATGGCAACAACTCAGCTAAATTTGCAGCTACTGAGCTCAAACTTAGCGTGGTAGTAGTTGAGCATCATCCCTAACACACATTCCAAACGCTACACATTGGGCAACATCTACGCTTAAAACTTTGATATTAACTGTCATCAAATCTATCTTTTAGCACAATACCTCACGAGCGACTGAACAGATTTTAGTGTAACTTTCAGTAAATAATGTACGTCTAAAACAGATCAACATTTGGTGTCAACACAATTTAAGATGGCCGCCAGAGCTAATAGAAAAATGTCTATAAGAGTTTATTTTACAGATGTTGAGCAGATGTTTGTTGTGGTTCATCCTCAGCATATGCTGCTTTAACAAACCAGGCAATATCTTGCAGTTATCATGAGATTACAAAATATCTTTACAAACTGCGCTTCCTCTTATCTTAAAGTGATTTATAAAAACGATGGCGTGGAAGGCGATAGACCACCTTATTCAGCCAAATTGCTCGGGGGAGGGGGGGGGCACAGTTACTGGAAGCTAAGAGCTCAGGGGGCAGACATCCAGCAGTTATTATCATTAAGTAAGTTTGAGTTATGGTTTAAAATCTAGTTTGATTTAAAAATTAACCCAATGGTCGGCCGAACTGAGCTCACCTGTGGGCCAGATTTGGCCCCCGGGCCGCCAGTTGAATGTCCCTGCGATAGACGACGTGCATTATTTTACTGAACGCTGGGCTTTTAACCGAGTCTAACCTTTGCCTCAGACTTTCAGAGTGCATCTTTTATGGTGACAACTGGTTACACAGAGTAGTTGTTGTTTGGGCCAGACAAGTTTAATGTAGGTTATTTCAAAGGTGTTTAGTTTACGAAGCGAGCAACTGGTTTTTACGTTGCGTCACAGACCAGGAGGGAAATACTGATTTGTGCTCCAACCTCTGTGTCTGAAATGACCGTTCACGTGGAGTTAAACTAACACTGTCGCCATCAAAAGGTGGCTGGAGAGGAAACAGGACAACATGAGTGAGAGTTAAAGCACAAGCGCTTTAGATTTTGATCTCTGTGCGGAAGGTCTGTACGAGCTCGTGTTTGGCCGGGTTCCTCCTGGCCCGGACTGTTAGGGTCCCGTCAGGGCCCAGCGAGGACGTCACTGAGGTGGGGTCCACGTCCTCGGGTAGCTGGCACTTGTGGGTGAAATTGTTCATCACTGAACCGTCCTGGGCCAGCTGCAAGAGAGAAGAGTGAAGACGGCTGAGTGTGGTGGGAGAGGCTCTGCTTCTGAGAGCTATGTTGAATAAAACACCGCCCACCTTCTCCGCACGAACTTCTATCTGGCTGTTGGAGGTCGTGACGATGACGTCCTCGGGGGAGAAGCCTCGCACGTCGACAGTGAACTGGTACGAATCATCCAGAGTTTTGACGTTTCCAGCTCCACCTGAAAACAGCACAATAATTTAAAAAATGATCAAATCAGTATCAGCCAACACTGTTTTTGTGAGTTTTTGTGCTTTGCGCCACAATAAATGACGTTTTATTGATTTTAAAGCTTCATTTAAGAGAAGTGGGAGCAACACTTTGAAAGGACTTTGTGGTGTTTGGCGTCTTGTCCTGTGACACTTTTAACTAGAACTAGATCAAAGTTCAGTTTCTGATTTTTTAACAGATAACACGAATGCTTTGTCAACGTGCACGTTATTGTTTTACTGTTTTTAGGTTCTTTTGTATAGTTTTACCAAACTACTTCCACAAACTGCTATTTTAACAGAAACATTTAACATTTTTTTAAATGTTGACTCAACTGTGAATATTTTTAACTTTTGTAATTGTAACTCTTAAGACTTTTAAAAATATATATATAAAAAATAAAACATTTTACCAAAAAATCCAAATGCCTAATGAGATTTCTTCAATTCGGTCAACTGAAATCTACTTCAGCTATCTTTCTATGCTACTTCTGGCTTATAGCTACTGTCTTGGAAATTTTAGCTTCTAACTACAGTTTTGTTAATTAAGATTTTTAACTTTGGTTTTGCAACATTTAGCTTGTACTAACGGTGTTGCTACATTTAGCTTTCAGCTTCAGTTTGACTAGTTTTAGCTTTTAGCTACTGTTGAGCTAATTTTAACGTTCAGCTTCACTTTTACTAATTGTAACTGTTACAACCCAAATGTAACTGTTACTATGGTTTTGCTAATTGTAGCATTTAGCTATTATTTTGCTACATTTAACTGTTACTCATTGTATTGCTACATTTACCTAATAGTTACAATTGAGCTAATTTTAGCTTCTGTATGCAGTTTTGCTGATATTGACTGTTATGTTTTGTTTTGCTACATTTAGCTTTTACTAACTGCGTTGCTACATTTAGCTTTTAGTTACAGTTTTGCTTGTTTAAGGTTTTAGCAACAGTTGAGCTAATTGTAGTTTTCAGCTTCAGTTTTGTCAATTGTAACTGACGTGATCTGATATGATTTTGCTAACTGTAGCTTTTAGCTAAGATTTTGCTACATTTAGCTATTAGTTACAATTTTGCTGATTTCAGCTTCTAGCTGCAATTTTGCTACTTTTAGTTTTAACAAGCTGTTTGACTAATTTTACCTTTTAGCTATGGTTTTGCTGAAATAGGTTTTTAGCTGCTGTATTGCTGACTTTAGCTTCTGTTTTGCTTGAATTTAACAACAAAAAAATTATCCTTATTCAATCAGTTTATTCAGTCATTCAAGATTCAAACGGCTTTTTTAATTGAAATTTCTCCAAATATTTTAGTTTTGTTGTTACATTTACTTCCTGTTTTATTTTCTAGGGTTTTAAAAAATATACATATTTTATTTTGGGCTTTCCTGTCACACCTGGTTCAGTTTTGTAAATAGCACACCCTAAATCTTTTATTTTTATGTCTGCTTTTGGGTCATTCAGCTTTTTCCTGCCTTGTTTTGTGCCCCCAAAAAATCTTGATTTGTTAGGGGTTGAACCAGCAACTCTCCAATTAAAAATACAATTTCATTTAAAAACATGTATATAGAAGTGTGTTAATCAAAAGCCCAGGTCAGAGAAGGAAAAACTGTAAAAGACTTAAAAAGGTGTGGAGCTAAAAACAAACAATTGAGATGCAGATTTTGTCAGCAGACGCTCTGTGAAATGTCACACATGAACCCCAACGCACACGTAAATCTCTACGTGCACAGCTGTAAAAATATCCCCACTCTGTCATCTTCAAACAGGAAAGTCATAAATTAATAAACATATTTGTCTTTAATCCTCGGTGGAATCAGAATTTGTCTGACTGACTTATTCCATGTGATGATGCGTGTGTGAAACGACTTCACATGGGCAGTTTTCAGCGTGTGACATCATTCTCGTGTGTGTGTGTGTGTGTGTGTGTGTGTGTACACTGTTCACCAGGCAACCGTTTGGTCGTTCATCACGCAGACGTCATCGCAGATATTCAGTGTGTGAAGTCACACGACTGGCAGTCAGGCCAGCATTCCTGCTTGCAGACGTGTGTGTGTGTGTGTGTGCGTGTGTGCGTGCATGTGTGTGTTTTCATCCTGAAGCTTCATATATGGGATACCAAGGGTGAACTTTTCTAAACACTGCCCCTCACACACAAATCACACGAGTCTGTTTTAAAATGACACGTCAGGTGTGCGCACGTCTGTGTGCACCATCCGGTCGCCTCACACCAGCGTGAGGAATTACAGAAGCCGACTCTGCGAAGTGAAATATCTCATGAACCTGCGTTGTGCTCCAAGTAGGGATGCACGATATTATCGGCATGGTATTGGTATCGGCCGATATTAGCGTTAAAGTTCAATATCGAACCTTCCATCAAAATAACTCACTGATATAAAAGACACTGTTGTTGCCTGCAGCACAACGTGATGACATCACACGCACCTACCTGATCTGATCACGGCGAAGAGGAAGAAGTCAAAATGTCGGCGGTGTGGACGTTTTTTTCGTTGAGGATGTCGGATTCCGAAGATTTTTGGACTTTGTTGAGCCTCGCTACATCGTCCCCAGTCGGAGATATTTTTCCGACGTAACGTTACCCGAGTTAGCCGTCATTTCCGACGTCATTAAAAAGCTAATAGCCGATAGCACTTGGGTGAGTTTTACCGCAGACATTTGGACGTCGTGTTAGCCCCGTTAGCATGATTAGTCTTACGGCACAATAGATAAAAACTTTGAACTTAAAAAGTCTGTCCTTCATGCACAGGAGTGCAGAGGATCCCACACTGCAGCTATAGGAACCTGGAACAAGCCTCCACAAGTGAAACAGCATCGCAGGTGACTAATGCTAATAAATAACCTTTAACACTTTTCATTTAATATAAGTTAAAGTGCTATGCATATCATATGACTGTTACTGAATATATGTCACCAGATCTTACACTGTTTTTATAGCAAATAAACCTAAATAAGAGGGATATGTTCTGACAAAGGAAAGTATATAAAATATCGGTATCGGTTATCGGCCAAGTAAGTTTTAACATATCGGATATCGACCAAAAATCCATTATCTCGCATCCTTAGTTCCAAGCATTAAAAAAGAGACAGATCCTGTAAAACGCAGCACGTTTGTCCCACACTTCATGAAAACTCCTTTCAAACTGCAGCAAAAACCAACTTTCTCAATAAACCCGTCTCTTTAACACAATTTTACAACTTACACAATACTTTTTTTTTATTGTTGTTGTTTACAGAATGTGTCCCGAAGCTTTGAATTTTCCTCGCAACTTACTGGAAAACGCCAGAGTGTTGCTCCCGGGCCTCATGAAGGAGTCAAAGTCCTCAGCGAACACACCTCGGCTCTTCTCCATGTATGGGTTACAGGACGATGAAGTAGACGATGAGGTCTGCTGGAAACTACGCTCCGAGCGATAGGCAGACGAGTTGGTCACACTCATGGATGGTTTGAAGTGCTGGATAAGGCAGAGGAGGAGAGTAAAAGGAGAGAAGAGGGAGGCGGAGAAAGGGACTTGTGTTTTTTTTCTTCCAAGAGCAGCTCGGGGAATCTTCCAGCGGCTTGAATATTACAGATTTATCTCACAGCTCTTTAGTTTTTAACAGTTCTTGCCGTTTTACTGTCTTTGTTTTTCTTCCAAGGGCGTTTACTGTCCTCGATCTCCTGCAGCCAATCACACGCGGGCCTTTTATACTGTATGCATGTTTGGGAAGTGGCACACGTGTCACAGCTTATTGGAAAAGGGTAATAGAGTTCTATTTTTATCACCAGACGCACAGAGGGATGAAGAGGAGAGGCTGTGGTTGGAAAAGGTCTGAGCGATGAAGGACCCGAGGTTAAGAGAGTGGGATTTGATAGACTGGGGGGGCACAACAGTTGTCATTCCAAACACACGAGTCCTAAAATAGCTTCTTTATCCCTCCTCACTTTACTGCACTCCATCTTCCGTCTGTACGTTTGACTTTCCCCACATCCTCGTCGTCGTCGGCCGTTTCAGAAGGAATTTCACAGTGATGTCATTAGAGAGGGATTTCTGTTGTCGTCGTCGCTTTATTAATTTCACCTCGCTCGTTTTAAACGCTCACAGGGAGACGAACGGAAAAGAGAAAAAGAAGCGCTTCCCCCCACGTCTCTGGGGTTAAGTTAGGAGCAAAACAAAGATGGAAACTATGCGGCTGAAAACAAAGCCGTGAGCAGGACTCGGTTGTCACATTGCTTTGTGGCTATTAATATCTGCACGAAGAGTGCAGCCAATCATAATTAGAAAACACGGCTCGTGTTACTAGTTAGCGCTGCTGGCAGCGAATGCATTCAAATATAAGCTGGCTGATGTTGTGCGTTTCACCTCCTGTTTGTTATTTAATTTAAAAGTAAGTATAATTTATACACATGCAAGAGAAAACACTGATTTACACCAACATTATCTGCCAATATAATGAAGCCGCAGGCGCCTGCTCTTAAAGGTTTCCCTCCCTTGTTTCAGTGCTTGTAAGGATACTGCTTAATACAAATGACTCAACAGGGTATTATTTGATTTCAGCCTTATCACCACAGAGCGCAGGAGCCCATGCTTCAGGGTCTAAATCCAGCCTGGCAACTCATCACCTCCCAGCCAGGGAGCACACAGAGCCCCCTTGACTCCCCAACTATAGCAATATTGTTGCTTCACTGTGGCCTCGACTAACAGAGCTGCAACAGGACCACGTCTACAGGTGGAGAACAAAAAGTGTTGTGTGAAAATGTTGGGTGTCTGTTCACATTAATGGGTTTGATGTTTCAAACTTTAAAACATATTATGCAACAAGATTTCATGCTCAAAGTATGTGTTGTGACTGACTCTCAGCAACTATTACACCAAATTTTTGACTAATTCCTAAAGCTAAATTGACTGAGTTATAGCTATTGTTGTGCTTGTTAAGGTCATAGCTGTAGCAATCATTTTAAAGTGGGTTCACGGCAAAAGTGAGGTTGTAGATGTACCGTATTTTCCGGCGTATAAAGCTTTATTTGCATGGGATTAGTTTTACTTAAGGACCACGTGCAATAAATAAATTACTCCCCAACATATGTTTTTTATGTGGCACATTCGCACGGGATAACCAAAGCCTGAGATTTAGCTGAAATTTACGGACTTCTTCCAGATATGATGTTAACGCGCTGCGTTGTCATGACCGGGCCGGTCCATATAATGTGCGGTCCCAGACGGTCTCAGGCTTTGATGTGGTTTTACGAATCAGCACTAAAGAGAACTAAATAATGCACAATATAAAATTGTGTTAATCTACTTGTTGAGGAGGAGGCAGGTCCGACCGCCCGGTTTAAGAGGTAAAAAAAAGCCACATTAAGCTCAGATGGACAGTTGTCACCGACTGTGTGCGGCCGCTGACCCGCCGGTTGAAATGGATTTACGACCTGTCCAGGGTGTCCCTCTCGCACAGTGATGGCTGGACATGGGCACCAGTGACTCCTGCTACCCGAAAAGGAAGAAGCGGGTAAATATAACGGATGGATGGGTCGATCATGCACGCATCTCCGCACCTCCTGTCATCTGCGGTGAAGGAAGTAGCAGCATAAAAGCTGAAGCGAAAAAGAAAAAAGATGTTTGCCAAACCTCAACCAGAACACTGGCCAAACAAAACTAAAACAATCATGGTTTGTGAGATTTGCTTATGTTTTGGGTTTGAGAGGATCTGTGTGTGTTTTGTGTCATCTGTCCTGCTCTCCTTTGTGTTTCTCCCTCGTGTAATCAGCTCCTGCCTCCATCACCTGTTGTCCTTTCCCAGGTGTTTGTGTTCGTCCCCTCGTTACTTTGCACATATTCTGTGCTTCCTTGTTGTTCCCCTGTCCGTGGATTGTCCTCTTTGGCGTCATGTTCTGTTTCCCTCTGTGTCGCCTAATTATGCTCTGTGCGAGTTGTGCTGCCACGTCAACCCTTTTGTTTATTTAAAAAAATTAAATTTATGAAACAGGTCTCCCTTGTAAATGAGTTCTCGTGACTCAGTGAGACTAACCTGTATAAATAATGGTTGAATGAACATTTACTTTATTTACCTGAGTTCTCCGAGTCCTGCCTGCATTTGGGTTCAAACCAGTGCAGATCATAATGGGTTTGGTGCTTCTATTTATTATATTTGTTTCAGCCTTATTTATGAAAATCTTCTGTACTGTTTATTTTATTTATTTTGCACAGAACAAGACTCTGTTTTTCCATTGAATCGTTCATGGAATCGTACAAATGGCACTGATTGAAACGTTACACACAAATATTGACTCTGGCAGTAAATTCTCAGACATTTATGTTCCATCTCAACAGGGCGTGAAGATGTGCAGTAAGCATCAACCCAATGCAGAGATGCATGATGGTCAGTTTTCAGCACTTTATGGTCTCATCACATGTTGCGCTGCAGATCTGTGGGATGCTGTGTCATGGCCGGACAGCTGCTTTGTTCTGATGTGAAATCAGTTGTGTTGTCTCTTTACAAAGTTTCTGTCTCTGTTTTGCAATGTTGTTTTTTTTAATCTCTTTGACCGTGGGTGCTGAGTTATTATTCCCACGCAAAGAAAAGCGGCAACATCCAGTAACTTTTGAGCTTGGTAAAATGGTCCAGCACCCTTGTTTTTTCTTCATCCACCGTTTTGTCCTTGTAAACGTCCTCTTGCTCCATTTTCAGTCCCCCCACCCCCACCCCCCCGTGTCCTTGAACACCGACGCTCCTTCTATTGCTCACTGAGCTACAGAGGAATCAAGACTGAATTAACAAACGCTGTCAGCTGTGATTTGTTTTCTTTTTGAGGCAGATTGATTTAAATTATGGAGTCTTGCTTTAAAAAAGAAAAATCTTCGGCTGTTATCTAAATAAGACAAATCTCAAGCGCGGCTGCTTTTCATCTTATCGTTTACTCATTGTCCGGCTGACCACCTGCTCCCAGGTTCTAGAGGCCTGCTTTTTGTCCCCGTAATGAGGACATGTCCCCAAGGTGTCAATATGTAAACAGAACATTTGTAGAGTCGTATACAAGCGTGGTGTAACACAAGATTACTCACCAGGAAGAACAAAGGATTGTGGGAAAACCAAACAGCTATGTTAGAAAAACGGGCTAATTTTCTTTCAAATTAAGTTGTTTTAGAGAAGTTGTTGGCAACAATCACTATTATATAATTAGTTATTAGGTATACATACATTTTTTTTAAACTTAGTTAAGTTACAACAAAAAATTTAACAGACAATGATTAAAACATTGTCTTTAAATAACCATCAAATCAAGGAAGGTATTTTCTCTTGTATGTCTAACTGAAACATGAACATCCTTAATATTTGCATGAACGTTCTTTGATTTTTGCAGCCTTTATTGAGCTGTTTGTAAGATTTCTTGTGAGAATTTGATGAACCGTCTTCACAGAAACAGACAGTTGAGACATAACGCGGAGACAAATACAGAATAAATGAAAACCCAACAAGCCATTTCCTGGAAAACACATGCTGTTTTTATAGTGGTCGATAGGCACAAACGGCGAAACACGCTGCAAACACATGAATGATGCAAACTCCAAAACATGTGAAAACAAATGCAAAGAAAAAGTGCTGCAAATACCAAAAACACAAAACAACAGGAAGCACTTCTTTCTTCCCTCCATCTTCTGGGCATCCCGTTCATGTGTTTGCCGGGGGTCTGGTCCCAGGTGACTTGGTGGTCGAGTCCCCCTCGTGGTCTGGTCCATTTCCATTTTGAGGAGTGAGTCCGCAGCGTTTCTTACTTGCAGTTGTTTTGGGAAGTTTTAGTGTTTTTGATATTTGCAGCAGTTTTCATTTGCAGTTGTTTTGTTGGCTGCATGTTTTTTTTCTGTGACTGCATTTTTTCTTTTGCAGCGTAACACGATCTGGTGGTATGTTGAACCCAAAGTGCACACAGACGGAACACAAAGGTCATATAAGAGTAATATTTATTAAATGAAAACAAAAGGCTGACGTGGCAGCAAAACTTGCATATGAACGAGGAGACATGGAGGGAGACAGAACATAACACCTTTACAGGACAATCCATCGATAGGGGAACAACAAGGAGACGCAGTATATGTAATGTAGAGGATAATAACAAACATCTGGGGGAGGACAACGAGGGACAGAAGCTGGCAACACAAGAGAAAAACACTGAGGAAGGCAGGAAGACAGACGACACAAGAACAGCACAAATAACACAGATCCCCCCACAGTGTTTGTTTATTGCTTTTATTTTTTTGTGTTTGTGCCTTTTGGAGTTTGCGTCATTCATGTGTTTGCAACACGTTTCGCCATCAACGTCCCCTGTCGGCCACAGTACTTTTTGCCCTGGAAAATAAACAAAACATGTTGCTAGCTGCAAACACACAACTGTAACTGTAAGGTGAAAATAAAACAGCTGAAGTTCTTGTAACTTAAGCTGCTTCGTAAGATTTCATCTTTTCGGACAAAGTAACGCTCAGACAAATAATCTGCTGTTTCCACAGTGAACAGAGTTTGGATCCAGGACTGCAGACTGGCTCGAGGAGCTTGAATGAACTAAAACTTGACTTTATTTTAACAAAACGCTGAAGCGATAGCACAAAACTCACAATTACTTGAGGAGTCACAGAGGTGATATTCACAAGGAGGCATGAAAAGCAAATATGCTCAGAATCAAAATGATTAAAACTTGATGCGATGATTCCGAGTGACACACCTCAGCTGATGGACTGTCACATCAGACTTGAAGGTAAACGCCACTCAACACTTTCTTCTTTGTTTACATTGCTAAAACCATGACGGACTCCACAGTTTTCTCCGGCCCCCTCCCCAACCTGACCAGCGATGACATGTTTAGCCGTATGTCGTCGTTTAACCGCTGGGTGTCCAGGTGGTGTTCTGACAACGACGTGGGCTACATAGATAACTGGAGTTCTTTCTGGAGAAAACCTGGTCTGATGCGGAGAGATGGCATCCATCCCACTTTGGATGGAGCCGCTCTTCTTTCTAGAAATATGGCTGATTTTGTTTATCCCCCAAATTATTGACAACCCAGAGTCCAGTCCAGGAAGCAGAGTTGTAGTCCTCCACACCTCTGTCATTGCTAAAACCATGTCGGACTCCGCAGGCCCGAATGCAACTCTAGTCAGTTCTACTCCCCTGTTCTAGCTCCGCCCACTCTCACCTGTCCCCAGTCTTCTTTTAGCTTAGGTGTTGCCATTTTATCATCAGCCCTCGTCAATAATTTCTATCGGTTTCCGTTCCCACAAGTCGTTCAATCTTTGCTCTTATTCTGTCAGTTTTTTGTCTTGTGTTCTGGGATGTTCTTGAGTTCCTGCTCTGCCGAGTTTGAGGTTTTCATACTTTTTCTGATCCTAAAAGTATTGTTTGCTTCTAATCTTCTTGTCTGTCCAGGTACTATGGATTCCCATAACAGTTCTAAAAGATGCAGATGCATCTAAAAGCTTTTTTCCCCTTCGTTGCAAACAGACAAAGTAAATTAAAGTTGCAACTTTGAGCTTTCAAACGAGAAGGCATTTGCTTTCTAACTCGTGTGACATAAATTGATTGGCTTGTTATCGTATTTGTTAGCAGAAAAGCCTCGTGGGTCTTTGGAAACAATTGTCATCTCGCTCCCCGGGGGTCTCATTGTGCCGTTTCCATGGATACACGTTTCACACTGAGAAACGCTTTCCGTACGAGTATACGTGAATGTGTGAGAGATGGTGTGGCTAATGCTAATAGCATACAGATTTCAAGGCTCTAAAAATAAAATTAGTGCTAAGTGAAAGCATTCATGGAGGGATTGTCTGAGAAAATAAACCGACGTCTCATTAGAACCGTATCTTTGGACGTGAAACTGTCTGCGCAATGATTAACTTGAAGCTTACTGGACCCATACGTTTGGTTCCTATAAAAAGTCGAACATTTAGAGACTTTATCATTTCTTTATGTTTCTTTTGGTTCAGACGAATGTTCTGTTTGAGGATCTGTGAAGGTGGATTCAGACAGGAAGCTCAAAGCAGAAAAAAAACTTTTAATTTACCACTTTGTATTATGAGACTTTTTAAGATGTACTAGTTTTTGGAGTTTAAAGTTTTCAATAATTCATGGCTGGGGGAAATAAATAAAAACACATTTAGAGACTAGTTTACGGGTCTAAAAATGGCAGACCACAGTCCAGAACTGGACCCAAATGGCTCAGATCCCAGAACAATTAATACATTTCATCAAAAGGGAATTCATATTTACTGATAAGTGTATAAAAGCAAGCGGAGAACGCAGCTCAAGGTAGATTCTTCAAACTGGTCTTCATGTATCTACGTTTATTTACATATAATTTGTACTTTTTCATGTCTTACCGTATATTTGATCATTCATTTTTGGAAGAAAACTTTTTGCGAAAGCTCATTTAACGCTTCTACAACTTATTTTAGGTGGCGTAAACTGCCCAACATTTATGGCATTTTAGGCAGCACAAGTTTTCTAGAATTTACGGTAACTTGTTTCAAGCATTTTGTCACAACGGAGGGGTTTACCCTGAGAGAGTGGACTGAGGACAACAGACTCAAAACCTTTTTATAATATGTGATTTATATACATTGCTTAGATAAATATATACCGGTACTATGTACAGTTGGATGCCTTGGAGAGGAAGGAGAGATGTCAGGGACGGTGGGGAATCATTAGATAATGCAGGTTGTTGGTTTCTTACAGGTCGTTGGTTGAGGATTCCAGGTTAGTTAGGTCCTGTTGGAAGGAGTGGAGGTGGAGGTAAGTGGTCAGAAGGCGATGGAACAACTGGGGAAGATCCATAAGGAGGAGTTGTAGCTCACATGTACGCACAGGAGTCAAGGATTCATGGACAGTACGCAGAGGCCCAGTACTGGAGGCTCAGGAACCAGGTTCTGTGAGAACACGAGGAGAACACAAGGTAAGTATTACTTAGGTTAGAGAACTGACACATGGAGGCCGATAGCACAAATACCAGAAGGTAAATAATGCTCCAGCAGGGAAGGAAGCTCTTCTGCAGCTTCTTATATTCCTGGTGCTCGTTAGCGGGATGACTTTCAGCTAGAGTTGCACTCGGGTCCAAATAATCCGCACCGACCCGGCCCCAGCCCGCTGCCATCATTTCCGAATCCCACCCGATCCGACGAATTAACAGTAATTACAGGTCCAATACCAAAAAAAACCCCCATTTTTAATTAAACTTTGACTGCTTATACCAACGGTTGGTGGACGCACGCAGCTGAGGGGACAGAAGATCAGATCTGAAGCGCTATCACAGCACGTTAAATGCTTCCCCTGCTTCTGCCTGCATCCTGCTCTGGCATGTTGGATATTTTGTGATCTCACCTGTTTGGGTCGTCGGCCGCACGCGTCCACTGAGTGCAGCGGCTGAATGAACGTCCATGTGGGTGATGAATCGCTGGCAGTAGTTCATCTAAAGCTTAACTGAACTTTTTACCTCTTTCAACCAGCCGGTCAGCACGTGGTCAAATGGCTGCATGCAGCAGGTGCAGTATGGCAAGCCATGTTTGCATATATTATATCGTCGGCTGTGCACGTTCCTGACGCAATAAAAAGCCCGACCTGGCCCGCACATTATTTTTGCCTGGCCCGGTCTGAATACGGGTCGGGCAGGGCCGGGTTCGGGTTAGAAATGACAGCTCTACTCAGCTCAGGAACCTGCAGGAAGAGCTAGAATCCCTACACATTTATGGTTAATCACTTTACACGGCATTGCTTTATTTAACATAATTTACCACGGTTCATTTTAGGTGGTAATTCAGTGTCTGGCTTTCAGTTTCTTTCTGCTTCTCTCAGCCCAAGGAGAGGTTCAGACCTTAAGCCCACTGTCAGGACCATCAAGATTCTACTTGAACGTTGCATTTACACCAATCAGCGTTGGGTTCTGAAATGGGGGCACACAGCAAGAAAAGGCTCCATGTATTTTTTGGACAAAAGTAGCTGTGGCTGTACATATTTTGACAATAACAATTCATCAGATAAATGAATGAAAACATTCCATATAGGAAAATGTCATTATTATAACCTGAAGAAGTGTTAAGCCAACATTTTGTCAAACTAAAGTTCATTGCTCCTTTTCGGATGAGCAGGTAAATATGAGCCGGTATTGATGCCAACAAAACTAATGAGGTGACAAAAACAGAAGGGGATGAAAATGACAATTGATCAGAGTAAACTGTGACTGAAGAAGAGAAAAAGGGACGAAAACTGATAAAATATAATGGTCTTTGAAGATAGTGGCGCTTTTAGCAGAAAAATCAGTTAATTCTTTAGTCTTAAATGTATACCTCAGTATACAAAATCAATTAACATATTACATTGCGTCATTATTGACCAAAACCTGAACCAAGACACTATGTGTTGGGGTTCACTCTCAGCTGCCAACAACCAGATTTCAGTTTAAAAAAGCTGAGCTAAAGTTTTTTTTTTTTTCTTTTAGCGTAGGCACCATCTTGGATTTCTGGCTTGCATTAAGAATTACGACGCTCTCAGTTACAGCCATACCGAATTTCAGCTTGATGTCTTTAAGAGTCACTGAGTTATAGCCAAGTTTATGGTTTCCGAAGTGGCTGTGGCAGCCATCTTGAATCAAAATGGCTCCAAAAGTTAATTAGTTCGATATATGCGTCCAATAATAATTTTCTGAGTTTCAACAAAACCCAATCTAAAGTTAAGAGGGAGTGGAAATCTATACACTGTTCTCTCTGTTTTCCATAAAAATGTATAATAAAAATAAGTCATGCTGATGACCTCAACAAAAACTAAATGAAACAGCCTGAATTTTTTTTATTTACGTATTTAAAACTACACTCACTCGCTCTCTGCAGTTGGGACACGTGAAGGGCACCTACCACTGTTCCTCCATGGAGTTAATATTAGCGACGCTCTCAACCATGACAGCTTCATCATTTCTATGTAAATGTCTTACCAGAGGTCAGCTTCCAACCAGGTAGCAACTTATCTACACCACACACTGCATGCTCTCTGATAAATGGATATAACTGCTCAAAAACAAGCAGGGGGTAAGTTTTCTATAATTAACACTTGTTTTGTTTAAACGTGCCATTTGAAATTTTATTTATCACACTAAAACGTATTTTAAAGACAAAATGAAGAACGAAGATGAGTCTAATGGGAGAGGACCCGATGAAGAGAATCACATCCAAGAGCAAGAGAATCGATCAGAAACATCCCATAATAAGGTCCCGTTACTTTTGAATCCATGGAAACCCTGCAGACGGACTCGAACGACCGTCAAAGGTCAGTGAAGAGCAAAACGAGAAAGGCTGGAGCTTATCTTCACACAATCTGGCGTTTTTATCTCTTACAGCTCCACTTCTTTCTTCTTCTTTCGACTTTTCCCAAATCAGGGATCATCCTCCTCCATCTCAATCTGTCCTCACTTCAGCTACCTCCATGTCATCTCTAACTGCATCCATATAGCTCATCTTTGGCCTTCTTTGACTTTTTCCTGGCTGCTGCATTTCTAACAACCTTCTGGACATTTCCAAACCATCTCAGTCTGGCCTCTCTAACTTTATCTCCCAGTTGTTCAACCTGTGCTGTACCTCTGATGATCTCATTCCTAATCTTATCCATCCTTGTTCCTCATGAGAACCTCAACATCTTCATTTCTGCTACTTCCAGTTTATTGTGACAGCTTCATTCATTACTTGGAAAATGTCTACGTTAATGAAAGGAATCCTCTGATGTGATCTTGTATTTTCACTTGGGGTATTTTCTTGGACTTACTAGTTTCTCATCTTCATATGTCACACATTTTGTTTTAACTGGTGGGGGTTTGTCCTCACAGGGGGACTGTTGAAGCTGAAGCGTTGTTTAGGATCAGTGTGTGGGATTGAGTGGTATGGCTATGCTACTCTTGGTATTTTGACAGCCATCTTGAGCTTCCTCGTGGATTCCATTGTAGCAAAGTTGCTGAGAGGTGAGTGCACACAAACACGCCTACTCCCTTTGGACAATCTGAGGACACAAGAAGACAAAAAAACAACCATTTTTGTCCTCTCATTTCACATGTAGCTCACATGTGGCTTTATATGAACCTGGAGGGCAACATTCTGCTGCAGTTCCTCTGTTGGACTCTTTACCCAGCATGCCTCTGTGCTTTCACGGCTACTTTCTCCTACAGTATCTGCCCCTTCTCCACAGGTTAGTCCATAAACAGTTACACATGTATGGACTGGATTTTGTTAATAAAAATTCTAAATGTTCAGCTGCTCAGGAGGAAGAAGTGCCTTTCATGAGTTAATTAAAAATGTGTTAAGTATAGCATTGGCATCAGAAGAATTTGTAATGTGAGGGGGACACACTGGTGGGGAGAGGGGTCTGGAGGTCCTCCCAAAAATTTTGAATAAAGTAGATGCCATTTCCTGCATTCTGGTGTATTTTAATGGGTTGTTAAACATCTATGTTTACCTACATATTTAAACACTTGATTCAATACCTATTTTAGAGACCATAAGAAGTAGCCTGACCAACAGCTCTCCTTGTGTGAATAGAGCCTGCTCAGCTCCCCCCCGGTCGACAGTAGCCAGCAATAACGTAGCATTAAGCTAGCATGAAAGACAGAGGTGTCTCCCCACCCTCCCCGTTCACAAAAACCCCTGAAGAGAGAGTGTCCTGCTAAGCCAAGTGACTTAGAGGAAACACTGCATGTGGTGTGGTGAGTTGTTGTAGGTAACCAGGAATACCCTGAGTGGACTTTTAGTGGTTTGAGTATTCTTCTTTTAATCAAGTGGAATGAATTTGTTCATGAAAAAATAGAAACAGTGCTGGGTGAACTAATATTTAAATGTGGGGGGTCCAAATGAATATTTTTTAAATGTGAGGGGGACACGTGCCCTTCACATATAATTGTTGCGACTCAACTGACTTTCATATCAACTGACTTTTTCATTGCACTTGTACCCTCTGGATTTCTTTGTTTTTCATTTCTGCTCAGGCTCTGGGATACCTGAAGTGAGGACCATGCTAGCTGGCTTTGAAATGCCCCATTACTTGTCTCTCACTAACATGTTTGCCAAGTTCCTGGGTCTTATCTGTACGCTGGCAGCCGGCAGCACAGTATTTCTCGGCAAAGTGGTGAGAAACAACTCGACGTATCTGTTTAACATGCAGTGAATTGGATGTTTTAAGTTTGTCACATAGTTTTATCCCACAAACAGGGGCCATTTGTGCATCTTTCTACTATGCTAGGGGCCTACTTGGACAATCTCTGTACCCTTATACAAGGCAGCACAAAGGTAATTCAGGAGTGGGTGGACATTTTGTCCACAGAAATGTACAGGTAAATTAAAAACGAGCATTCCCTGAAAGAGTGCAGCTGCTGGCTTGTATAGCAACACTTTGAACAGAACCTTTGCTAGCACCCAAAGTGTGTGTTTGGGAGGAATGTCAGCTACCACCACAACATATTGTAGTTCAGAGTCTATAAAAGTGACTGAATTAAAGTCGTTTATGTGTTTTCTAAGGTTGATTGGCTGTGGTGGTCGTCTTGAATCCGGTGGACTGTGTAATATGACTGTCTAAAAGTGATGCTGTGCACAACAAAAATAGATTATGCATCTTTTAGGAGAAAGCAGGCACAGAGATGTTGGTTGTAGCTGCTGCCGTTGGAGTCGCCAGCTGCTTCGGAGCACCAGTCAGCGGTGAGAGATTCAGAAAAAGTCTATAAGTCTATTTGTACCTTTGTTTTTCCTTCCTCAGAAAGTTCTGTTGTATTTTTCCCTAACTTATTCTGTTGCATTTGATCATTCCACTGTTAAATGTTTTCACACCATTCCTTTTTGTCTATGTTCTTCGGGCTTTAATCGTGGAAAAAGACAAACGGTCACAATTCACATAAAACCTCAGAGTTTGTTTGGATCAACAGCTGAAACATCTGTTGTACTTTAATGTTTTAGCGCCATTTCACGGTTGAGGATATCCCAGAGCCATTTATAGAGACAGTAAACAGGTTTGATTTAACACGATTTAAGTCCAGTTGAGTCTAAATATAATTTGATTCATTGTTCTTTAATTCAGAATCAAATCCAGTTACGTTCTAATTCAAGCCGGTTGATTCCAGTCCAGTGGATTTCAATCGAGTCCAGTTAAAATCAAGTTAAGTGAAATTCAGTAAAGGAGCATGACCACAACTTTAAAAAACAAAGAATCAAGATAATTTTAGATAAGATTCAAACGATAGCCAGTGCATTCTCTTCAGATGAACACCGCATTCTGAGCATGCACAGGTCAGTGGGCGACAGTGGAGAGGAAAAACTTGGTTTTAACATGAAATACACTACTGCAAGATAAAAGGCTGTGTGTTGTCAGAGGACAGGAAAAAGACGCAAACACAAAATCAAATGGCTCTTAATGCTTGCCAAGAAAAGAAAAATGTTCAAAATGTATAGAAATAATCTGTGCAAATACTTAAAACAAAGAGGTTTTGAGAGTGTCAGGTGTCTTTCCTGTCTTCAGCAGCATAACTAAAGGGATGGCTCACTCAAGTCAGCTATAATTAAAAACCCTATCAAAAATAAATGTTTTAAGCAGTCGTGTGAGCCTCAATGACAAAAACTGTAAGCTGGTCCTTTTAGAAACTCTTGTCAAGACCATGTGTCGAATCCGACTTTGAGACATAAACCTGCCGTCTGAGGACTACGTGCTCTGTTGAGAAAATGTGGATCTTTGAAACCATAACAGTGCTAGAAAGTTTCTTATTTGGAAATTAAAGGACATTTCGGTCAAAAATGAGTCTTTGTTGACTCGACTTGAAGCCAGAGTAATGGCATGCAAAGTAAACAATTGGCTGAGTTAGTGTTCAACTCTAAAGACAGAATTTTCTTTTGAATTTAGAAGCAGAAAATCAAAAATCATTCAAGCTTTTTCATATTTAGGAATATAAAGTGCTGGTTTTCCTCCCAGATGCTTGAATCAGAACATTATTCCTTTAAGTTCACGAACAGGAAGTAAACCTGCTTCTTCCCACTGTGTGAAACATTCAACTCCTTACACACTCCTTCTGTTCTTGCTTTGTGTCCTCGGGTGTAGGTGTGCTGTTCAGTGTGGAGGTAATGTGTTCCCACTTTGCCCTGAGGCACTACTGCCCTTGTTTCTTCTCGGCTGCTTGTGGGGCGCTGACCTTCCACCTGCTCTCCATGTGGAGTGGAGACGGAGGTAACGGACACACTGATCAACACTCGCCCCCTCATGGTTAGCAGGGAGGCGACTCATGTTAAAGTCGCAGACAAATGTAACCCTTGGGGGCCTGAAGGCCAACATCAGCTATTTCACTAACATGCTGGGATATTCTGATAGTTGGGCAAAGATTTATATTTGTGTGAATGCTGATTCAGCTCTCATACATCCTGCTTCTTCATTTTTTTGTAAATTTTTTGCAAGTTAACGCTGCAAACTTTGTTTATTTTAGTCAAATATTTAAAAATAGCTCATTCAGGAGATCAGTGTTGCAACTTTTGGTATTTCTAACTTTAAAACTTTTTTTTTTTCCACATTTACTAATATTTCCCCATAGAAATAAATGGAGATGCTTCATGTCCTTCAAAAACATTTTTCTCTCTGAAATGTGCTTCGATAGTTTGCTCTACTTTTGACCTCTAATGGTACTTTTAGCTTTCATTTAACTACTTATAGGTAGCATTGTGCTACTTTAGGCTTTTCACTACCAGTACCTTTTTGCTACTTTTAGCTTATAGGTAGCATTTTGCTACTTTAGCTGTTTAGCTAATTTTTAGCAACTTTCAGCTTATAGGTAGCATTTTGCTACTTTAGGCTTTTAGCTATCTTATTGTGCTACTTTTAGTTTATTGGTAGCATTTTTCTACTTTAGGCTTTTAGCTAACTTTTTTGCTACTTTTAGCTTATAGGTAGCATTTTGCTACTTTAGGATTTTAACTAACTTTTAGCTACTTTTAGCTTATAGGTAGCATTTTATAGGGGCGGCTGTGGCTGAGTGGTTAGAGCAGTCGTCCTCCAATGCGAGAGTTGGTGGTTCGAATTCACCAGCAGTCACATGCTGAAGTGTCACTGGGCAAGACACTGAACCCCCCATAGCCTCTGATGTGTGTCCCATCAGTGTATGAATGTGATCTAAAGCTTTGATTAGTCTCATTAGAATGATTTGTTCAATTAGCTTTGTAGAGATCAAGTAGAGTGCTGTATGAATGGGTAAATGAGGCACAGATTGTTGTAAAGCGCTTTGAGTATCTTGAAATAAGATAGAAAGGCACTGTATAAGTACAGTCCATTTACCATTACCCATTTTGCTACTTTAGATTTTTAGATAGCTTTTAGCTACTTTTAGCTTATTGGTAGCATTTTGCTACTTTAGGCTTTTACCTATTTTTTGCTACTTTTAGCTTATACGTATGTAACATTTTTCTACTTAAGGCTTTTAGCTAACTTTTAGCTTATAGGTAGTATTTTGGTACTTTAGATTTTAGCTAACTTTTAGTTACTTTTAGCGTATGGGTAACATTTTACTATTTTAGCTAACTTTTAGCTACTTTTAGCTTATAGGTAGCATTTTTCTACTTTAGGCTTTTAGCTATTTTTAGATTTTTGCCAACTTCTAGCTACATTTATTTTCTAGCACACTTTTTAAAAATTATCATTATTTAGTGCTAAAACAATTTCCTGCGGGATCAATTTCTTGTTTTGCTACTTTAGGCTTCTAACTAGCCTTTTTATACATATAGCAAGCATTTTGCTGCTTTATCTATTAGCCAGTGTTCTGGGTTTTTTTTTTTTTTTGGATCTCGTTTATTTATTTAACAAATTTTTGAAAAGTCATTCAGCACTCATCACAGTTTCTGCATTAAAATGTGTATTTATTGTTTTGAGTCACTGAAAACTCTCAGACGCATGTTAGTGATTTTCCGTCTAATCGGTCAGACTACTTACGAATCATATAGAATACGTAAACGTAATAGGTTTTAAAGAAACACTTGATGGTTTGATAAAGTGATCTGATTGGATGGGTTTATAATTTGAATTTTCACCTTCAGAGGCGGAAGCTGGCTGTAAATTTCATTAAAATGTCAGTGCAATAAAGTGTTGGAATATTAGATCTCTGACAGGCTGTTCGAAACCAAAGTGGTGATTCAAATTTGTTTTGTGTCCACAGAGACTCTTCAGGCGTTGTTCAAAACTAATTTCCCCACCGCTTTACCGTTCTATTCGCTGGAGATTCTGCTGTTTGTATTTCTGGGGTGAGTTTACTTTGAAAGCTTCTGCGTAGTTAAACAAGTCCCCTATTTGTCTTTGTCTCGTTAATAAAACCTGACATTTGGCTTTCATATTAATATCAGTCGCAAGGATAAAGAGGTCTGCTGTGTTTTCCTTCACTTCTAATTAGTATTCAGTTTTTATTCCTACTTGTTCGTCTCATTTCCTGCCCTCCTCCTCGTTCTTTCCCCAGTTTTAATGACTTCCGAGCATCACTTCCTGCCTGAATTAAGATGAATGTTCTCACTCTGGATTGTGTCACTGTCTGAAAACAGGCTGCTGTGTGGGGCTGTGAGCTGCTGCTACCTCTTCTGTCATCGCTGGATCCTCAACTTCACGAAAACAAACAAATTAGTGTTTAAGATGCTGACGACAGAGTGAGCTCTTCACTGTGTGATGCAATGAGGAGTCATCCACAGAGCCTTTTCAAACATTTACGTGCTATAAGAAGTCCTAAACATTGTAATGGATTGACCTAAACAGCTGGTATGTGTAAACGTCTCTGCAGGAAGGGTCTGTACAGTTGTCTGGTGGTCTTCTTTCTGGCCTCGCTGACGTTTCCTCACTCGGCTGGTCAATACATGGCTTCTAAGGTGAGATTTAATAGCAGGTAAAGGCTGGTGTAGTTTTTGTTCCTGCACTCATCAAAATGTTTAACATCTTCATCTATATCAGGGGTCTGCAACCTTTAGGATCAAAAGAGCCATTTCTGCCCCTTCGTTCACTAAATTAAATGTGCCCAGAGCCACAAAATCGGCAACAATTGTCATTATCAACTGGTGGCCCACGGGCCACTTTAAGTTTGTTAGAGGGGGCTTTTCTGGCCAGTAGGCACAAAATTATAAAACTAAAAACATCCAATGATTGTTAACATTTATTGATATACAGTAGTACCTCGCTACTTCGCAGTTTGTTTAGTGTGGACTCGCTCTATCGCGTTTTTTCAAAATAAGATTGGACATGACACACAATTTGCTGACTGATGGATGAGCCGCACGATCAGCATGGACTTTTTATTTAAAATACATTATTTTAAATTATTTAGCACCTCCTGCAGCTTTGTGCAGCCCACACTGCAGGATAAACTTCCTGCTGCAGCTGCTCAGCTGTTCACTCTGCAAAGTGGAAAAGTGGGCGTGGCCAAGAGCGCTTGCAGGAGGCTGAGAGCAGCGGAGGCAGGGAGCTGAAATCATGACATTCTGTGCTCTTTTAGAGCGTTTAGAGTTTAAAAACATTGTTTAGAATATTGAAGAGTGTGGGGAGGGTTTAAATCACCTTAGTATATATTTAAGTACTAAAATAAACAACTACTTACTACTTGTACTATTATTCCTACTTCGCGGTTTTTCACTTTTCATAGGTCTACACGTATCCCCCGCGATAAACGAGGGACTACTGTAGTAGACTTAATGGCAGCAACACAGAAGTGGGGACTGGGAATGTTTACCACTGTGAAGCATCCCCTCTTCTTTTAACAACAGTCTGTAAACAACGAGGAACTGAGGAGACCAGCTGCTGACGTTCTTGGAATTGAACGTTGTCTTATGCTTGTCTGATGTAGGATTTTCACTGTTCAGCAGTCCTGGGTCTTTGCAGGACTTTTTGTTTCACGATGCATCGACATGTTCAGTTGGTCAGAGGTCTGGACTGCAGACAGGCCAGCTCAGTGTTTGGACTCCTCTAAAAATCCATGCTGTTTAATGGATGCTGTATGTGGTTTAGCATTGTCTTGCTGATTTATTCAAGGCCTTCCTTTTAGTAAACATCTTCTGGATGGGTGTATATGTTGTTCTTAAACCTGTATATACTTATCTACATTAATGGTGCTTTTCCAGTTGTGTAAGATGACCATATCAGAGGCACTAATGCACACCCACACCATCAGTGAGGCAGGCTTTTGAACAGTGGGCTGATGACAGGCCGGATGGTTCCCGTTCTCATTAGTATGTACAGTATATAGCAGCCAGGGTCCAAAAGGAATTTCACATTTTGATCTGTCTGACCACAGAGCTGTTTTTTTCACGTTGCCTCAGTTCATTTTAAAAGAGTTTTGGCAAAGAGAAGACTGCAGGGTTTTCTGGTGGTGATCACATGTGGCTTTTTCTTTGCAGGATAGAGCTTTAATCAGCATTTGTGGGTGACGGGGTGAACTGTGTTTATAGATGATCTTTGTCATTGTTCCTGAGCCCATGCTGTGATGTCCAGAACAAAATCAGACTCGTTTGTAATTCAGTGCCACCTGAGGGCCTGAAGGTCACGACCTGCCAGTGTTGACTTTCAGCCTTTTCCTTTGAGCTCAGAGATTTCTAAAGATTCTTAACTCTGTTGATAATGTTATGAACTGTAAATGATGGGATATTGAAAGTTTTCCCAATTTTTCATGAATGAAACTTATTTCATTTGGAAATTTCAGTGGGTTAATAACATCAAAGTTCATGTTTAACCTGGTGGTGGATGGGTTAAATGCAGAGACTAATTTCGCCATTGT